CATATACATACATACGCATATACATACATACGCATATACATACATACATACATACATAGATATATAAATGTCTATAACAATCAATTTTCTTCACTTTTGAAATTGTTGGACAATCGAAAGCATAAAGACACGCAAACACACAACTAACAAAATTTTATGACAAAATCAATACAATTCAATGTAATTTCGTACGATGCTGTTGTTTTTCATGTCAGCATAACAGTTAAATGCTAAAATCAACACTCAGCCATTGACACGAACATATATACGTTCATACATCTTTGCATAGATACTTGCCTGTACTTAAACGAATCAAACACAATTACAATGAACTTGATTACTTATCAAGAAAATTTTGCGAAAATATCTGTCTGTCCTTAAGTAATTGTGCGATACTAGCATGACTAGTTAATAATGTTAAGTACGCATTGTCTGTATGCTTCAAATGTCCTTTTATTGAAATTTCAAAATCAAATTCAATCAATAATTATCCAAAACATAAATACAAATTTTGTTTATCTCATTGAAATCAAGATGTTTACATATCAGCTGCCATAATCGAGATTCAAAAAAAAAAAAAAAAAAAAAAACAATTCTCATGAAATTTTACATTCAACTTTAATTATTACGTGGCTTGTAAGATTGTTAAAGAATTTCCAAAATTTGCGGCATTTACTTTATTTATTTAATTTAATAGCCTTAAGAGACAAATTTTATCAGTTTTCCAATCTGCATGTGCATGTGAATGTGAATGTGAATGTCAATTTGACCGCGAATAATTTGAAAATATCTCACTCACTTATGAAAATCCTGGGCATAATTAACATAATTATTGTGCTTGTTTATATTTTAAATATATATATATATATATATATATGTAAGCATATCATAAATATATATCATATACACGAGAATGGACATATGTCCATTGGAAATGCTTTGAAGCAGTCTAATAATTATTGAGCCGTTACTCACAACACAAAAAAAAAAAAAAAAAGAAGAAGAATAAGAAGCCTGGTTGTCAACCTTCAATCTATGACCGACGCAATGCATATATTGCCGAGAAATTGCCTGGAAAGTTATCTTTCCTAGATATTTATTTTTGATAAAGATAAGCTGAAGCTTTCAAGGAAGGCCGAAGAATGAATCAACATATCTTGTTTCCTTAGCAATAATTTCATTAAAAATGTTTCTCTTTTGAGCAACATATGCACAGAGGACTTGATGAAATCTATGCATTAATTTAATCGATCGATTGAGATTCCTGGTAGGATGCGATTCATCAAAGATAAAAATTAAAAAACACCGATAAAGCTGAAAAAGTTCGCATTAACCTATTTGGAGAGAACTGATTGAAACACTAACGTCTACGTACGAGAAGATTGTGAGGGCACTTGTACGAGAAACGCAGAAACAATTCTATAGTGTAGTTGATAGAGATTTTCTCAAGGTTGCGGGAAACTATGAACCGTTCTAGCTAAGCATTGCCTAAGCATAATTTGATTTTAAGACAACTAAGACGAAAAATATAGTGAATAGAAGCGATGTCTTAGATCGTTCCAAACGAAGCCTGACGGCAGTTGAGTTGTTTAATAAATATTGTACTAAAATCTCTTTCCTGATTATTAATGCTCAAGCATTTACAACTGCATCTATTTCGAATGTTTAAAGCGTTTTTCATGTTTCCCTAACGCACATACACACAACGACAACAAGAAAATTATAATTTGATAGAGAAAATTTTCGTTTAAGTACAAAACATTTTTCCAACTTTATATAATTATTCTTTTAAAATAGATGACGATTTCATATCATTTCTTTGTGTTGTTCTACACCCAAGAAAACTTATCTCAAATAATAAATTTCTACTTATGGCGGAACTTTAAAAATTCTTTTAAATAATCTTTAAAAAAAAAAAAAGAAGCATTTATTCATACATGTGAAGTCTTTAAAAA